GAGTACTTTAAAATTATGTAAATGCAGGAACTAGGAAAAAAATATGAGCATTAAAATCGTATATATATATCTCTCATATATTCAAAATTTACCCAAAAAAATACCACATATTTAATTTTTTCCAATAAAGCCATATTTTCTTAAAATAGGGTAGCTCTTTACAAAAGAAAATAGCATTGTTTAACTGTACATTGAAAGAAAACGGATTTTTTCAGTTTTAAACACTGCAGTTTACTATGTTCTCAATGCTATTCCAGTAACCTCCATTGTTTAAGAAGAACATCAACCTAATTACCCAACTTGGAGTCAAATCTTAGACATTCAGCTGCTAGAAAAAGTCAGAGAGGGAAAACTTCAAGCTAATGAAATAATGTATTAATGAAGATGATAAATCTTTATGTACCTTTCTTATATATTTGTATTCCTAGGGTATGAAAAATCATAAATGCAATAAAACACTTTTATAATTTAATAGTTATCGAAGTTTTTACATTTAAATGTTTCATTTGCCATTGGAAGATTGTTTATACATCTGCAGTGCTCTTTTCATGATAACTAGAGGCTCTCAAGAGCCTGTGTCGCTCACCTGATTCTACTTTGGTTTTGGAAATCATGTAAAAATAGATTAAAATCATAACAGATACCCTAATAATGAGTGAGGCCAAATTTGGTTTAATATTGGTCCTGTAATTTAATAAAAAAATCCTGGTGGCCATCTTGAACAGTAAATCGGCAACAAAGTAGCAACACTTAATCAGCACCTCATAAGAAACATTTATGCCATGTTTTGGTTTCATTCCATTCAGTGCACCTCTAGAAGAAGCATTTGTATGTATTTCCCATAGGGTCTTATGTTAAAGGAAGTCCCCCCATTGGCGGCCATCATGGATGAAGGATCAGCTTCAAAGTAACAAAACTTAGTCAGCACCTCATAAGGAACATTCATGCCATGTTTGTTTTCAATCCATTCAGTATGTGGTTCTCTAAAAGAAGTCATTTGTATGTATTGTCCATAGGGTCCTTTGTTAAACATTGCCCCCATCTGGCAGCCATCATGGATGAAGGATCAGCTTCAAAGTAACAACACTTGGTCAGCACCTCAAAAGGAACATGCATGCCATGTTTGGTTTCATTCCATTCAATGGTTCTCTAAAAGATAACATTTGTACGTATTTCTCATAGGGTCCCATGTTAAACTAAGTCCCCCGCTGGCAGCCATCTTGGATTATGGATCGGCTTCAAAGTAACAACACTCGGTCAGCACCTCATAAGGAACATTCATACCATGTTTGCTTTCATTCCATTCAGTAGTTCTCTAAAAGAAGACGTTTGTATGTATTTCCCATAGGGTCCCATGTTAAACTAAGTCCCCCGCTGGCGGCCATCTTGGATTATGGATCGGCTTCAAAGTAACAACACTTGGTCAGCACCTCATAAGGAACATTCATACCATGTTTGGTTTCATTCCATTCAGTGGTTCTCTAAAAGAAGACATTTGTATGTATTTCCCATAGGGTCCTATGTTAAACTAAGTCCCCAGCTGGCGGCCATCTTGGATTATGGATCGGCTTCAAAGTAACAACACTCGGTCAGCACCTCATAAGAAACATTCATGCCATGTTTGGTTTCATTCCATTCAGTGGTTCTCTAAAAGAAGACATTTGTATGCATTTCCCGTAGGGTCCTATGTTAAACTAAGTCCCCCGCTGGCGGCCATCTTAGATGATGGATCCGCTACAAAGAAACAACACTTGGTCAGCACCTCATAAGGAACATTCATGCCATGTTTGGTTTCATTCCATTCAGTGGTTCTCTAGAAGAAGTTTAAAATGTAAAAAGTTAACGCCGTCGACGGACGACTGACGCCAAGTGATGAGAAAAGCTCACTTGGCCCTTCGGGCCAGGTGAGCTAAAAAATAAATAACATACACTTTTAGTTTTAAAAAACTTTATGAAACACTTTATTGACACAGCATTATTTACTATTCTCTGCTATTCAACTGTTACATTCCATTTTCTTCACATTTTTCCATCTGACATACATGTCTGATATTGACATACCCTCTGATCCTTAAAGACAACAGTTTATAGTCATGGAAACTATTATGCCAACAAATTATGTTACATAACCATATGCTTTGCATGCTTTGCGCTTATGACTATGGGTCACAAACAATCTAATACAAGTCTGGTTGTTTCCACCCCTTTAAGGTGGTACCAAACAACTTGACTAACATTAATTTGGCTCGTTTAATTTTCATAAAATTTTGACGAAATATTTACTTTGACCCTTTGACAAAAATTTTGAAATTCTGAAAAAGCTTGAACAACACTTTTTTTTATTGGAAAAATTTCATTGGATATATAGGAGGTTGACAAACACTAATTTTGATCATTGAGAAGCTTAATATTTCCTTAACAATAGAAACTGATTAAAACGTTCAGCTGATTTTTACAGTGTTATCTCCCTGTAGTGTAATGTACCACCTTAAACATGTCAAATATCCGCTTGTTCAGATAACCTCATTTTATGATCTTAACTATATACATTCAGTATGCAAATTAAAAAAAAAAAAGAAAATTAAATATAAAGTTTATATTGGTTGAGGTAGTATTGGGGTTTAAAAAAAAAACACATATTTTTTCTTCATTGTTTTCAAAAATGCACATGTACTTTTTTTTGTAGTTCGTTGTGTCATGATTGCACTTGTACTATTTCCTAAGATTCATACATAAAAAGACATGTCTCCAAGCTTGATTTTAAGCTACAGCTTGTGTAACATGGAAACATTTTGTAAAAACTATACAGAGAAAAATCAATATGCTGTTAATAGAAAGTAAAACTACCGTAAATGACATTTGAAATAAAATATGGAAAGCTATATAAAGCTAGCTCTTATAAACTGCAGTTAGAAAATCAAACTATCTGAGTTATCTCCTCTTTTGATGATGAGTTTAATTTTATTCAATTAATCAAAAAATGTTCTGTATTTGAAAAAGCTGATTTTATAAAGATAAAATCACATAATTTTCTGAATTCAAGTAATAGTCTTATAGTCATATTTAGTCATAAGCTTCTCAAACACTCAAGTCGTTATATACCCATGGCTTTCAAATTTTTGGTTTGACTTATCATGCTTATTAATCCCGATGAAGGTAAATAAAATCCTACAGAAAATTTTCTTGGAAGCACCAAATGTTTATATTAGTTTTATCTTTAATTACATATATGAATTATATCCTTGCATCAATTTTTGTTTTATTGAATAAAAAAAATTGTTGCAGTTCTAAGTTAACTGAACATTTTATTTAATAACTTTCTTTTCTATTTCTTCTAGAATGTCTAGTAAAACTTTATTTTATCATATAATGATAAGTCCAGCCTTGGGTAAACGTCAATGAAACAACAACTCATTGATGAAAATGACCAAAAGACGTCATGTTTATAGACTGATATTTCAAAATACAAAATGTACTAAAACAGTACAGCAAGTCAAGATCTAAGACTTAAAAGTATGGTGAACAAGAATGTGTCCATGGTACACGGATGCCCCACTCGGACTATCATTTTCTATGTTCAGTGGACCAGGAAATTGGGGTCAAAACTCTAATTTGGCATAAAAATTAGAAAGATCATATCATAGGGAACATGTGTACTAAGTTTCAAGTTGATTGGCCTTCAACTTCCATCAAAAACTACTTTGACCAAAAACTTTAACCTGAAGCAGGACAGACGGACGAACGGAAACCGACCCCTTTTTTCAGTGTTTACCCTGAAGGTGTTTTTGTCATTTTTGAACAAGCACTATCCATGCTATCAAAGGCTGAAATGAATGCAAAATTTAATGATTTGCCTACATGGCCTAGCTACCGATCTTAATTTTTGTAAGCATGTTTATTTATCATGTTAATAGTGGGAACACTGGTTTTCTTCTTTTTGAGTATGTTCCATGACTCCATGAAAAATATAAATGAAAATCTATGCTTTTTCAGCTTCAAATGAATCACACTTTCATCTTATTTTTACAACACAAGACACAGGTTTTACAAGTTCGTCCAGTGAGAAATAACATAAATGTATTAATTATTTATTTATCTAGACTAAATTTCATTGAACAATCAATCATTTATTTAACTCAATTCCTATCAAGTGATTTAGCCTGCCTGCATCATTTTCATTATTTACAACACAAAAATTTTCATAATGATAAAAGTATTTCTGATCAATTTTGTTACATAAATTTGCCAAAAAATGTGTACCCATGCTAATTAATCTGTTACAACCATATTTTGTTAAATTCATTTAAATAGAATCTGTCATTCAACATTTACAAATGTAGATAAAAACAAAATTTGTAGAAAGACGAAAACTATAATCGACTCAATAGAATTTAAGTTGTTTTACTTAAAAATAAAACAAAGCCATGAAATTTACTTTTACTGCCTCCACAGGACACTACAGAATGCAAGGATGATGACCCAATCATCCTTTTTACAGTTAATACTGAAAAGGCATACCATCTTTCAATCTTGAACTCTTAAATAAAATAGGTCATGTATTTCAGTTTATTATAGAAATGTTCTTCTGGTCAAAACAGACTATACTTAACAACAATCATCACATGTTCATATTCAAATCTTCCAAATATTTTTGACTGAAGAAAAAAATGACCTATTTGTACATTATTGTGTAAAGGTGCCATAAAGTCTGAGGGTCTCTCACAGTCAAACTGTTAAGTTTTGATAACTATGAACACTTATTACCAATAACAAGACAGCCATACAAATGCAACAGAAATAATTTTTAATAATTAATGTGTGTTACTGTGAAGGAGATTACATACAAATATGTCTTATAAGACTGCATCTTTTTTTCCTGTGTCACTTTGTTTACAAACAATGAAACTGGATGGATGACGTTCACAACGATTCAGTGCCATTAATTATTACATTTTAGCGATAGAAAATTTTTAATTATTGTTCCCTTCTATAGAACTTACCACAAATGAGAGAAAACACAGAGAAGACGACTAAAATTTCTATTTTCCACATGATGATCACCGTAACTTCGCCATGACAGATTTATGTTCCAGATGAGTGATTTTCATGGTTTTTGGACATTGGATTTAACTAACTACTGACGCATAAGTATGTTTAATCAATGAAGACGAAGACCCGTTTTCAAATAAGTTTTTAGATTGCTGATGATATGTATTAAAAAATTGTGAACTATATAAACAGTATTCTGATCAGACTTCGGGTATTTATTGCTAAACATAACTGTAATAAGATGATAACAAATATTTTTTTTTTATGAAATTGAGGGTAATTTGTAATATCCCTGACCATCTGATGTAATTTGTAACTTGAAAATCACCAGTATTACAATGACATTGAAGTAAATGTAATTTAGATTTAATTACAGAAATAAAATATCCTCTAAATGAAATTAATTTTCAAATACATACTATACAATACAATACAATGGCATAAGTGCAGAACTTCATTTCATTGCATGAAGCTAACTATTGCATGCGGGAGTGATGAATAGGTTCACTGTATTTTTGAAGAAATGAGATAATTATATTTAGTGTGAAGGAATTTTTGATAAAATGATTCATTTGTTATCATTGTCTTAGACTATGTTATGTAAAAATCTTGCTGTGTGAGATTCTCGATAAGATTAAAACACAAGATACATGCTATTTAAGGGTGTGTTCCACCACTCTTTGATTTTTTTCATCACTTTTGATTTCTCAGCATATATCATTGATAACTATATAAAGATCACATAACGGCCTTCAACAATTATTAAACAAGCAAGCTTAAGACATATTTCCGGGATTATGGAAAAATTTTAAATTACATATCGAAAGTGTGCATCTTTGGTTACATTTTCTGACATCAGACTCGGACTTCTCTTGAACTGAATTTTAATGTGCGTATTGTTATGCGTTTACTTTTCTACATTGGCTAGAGGTATAGGGGGAGGGTTGAGATCTCATAAACATGTTTAACCCCGCCGCATTTTTGCGCCTGTCCCAAGTCAGGAGCCTCTAGCCTTTGTTTTTCTTGTATTATTTTTAATTTTAGTTTCTTGTGTACAATTTGGAGTTTAGTATGGCGTTCATTATCACTGAACTAGTATATATATTTGTTTAGGGGCCAGCTGAAGGACGCCTCCGGGTGCGGGAATTTCTCGCTGCATTGAAGACCTGTTGGTGACCTTCTGCTGTTGTCTGTTCTATGGTCGGGTTGTTGTCTCTTTGACACATTCCCCATTTCCATTCTCAATTTTATTGTCTAATTGGCACTCATACCACATCTTCTTATTTATATTGGAATGACAAAAAAAGTTAAATACTTTTATTTGGAAACTTAATTTTGTATCACCGAAAGGTTTTAAACATTCGAATAACCAACAACTCGAATGATTCAGAGCCCTGTGTCCTGTTAATCAGGAACATATATATTGACGGGACTTGACACTTACTGATTGTAGTCGATTTTATCGTTAGATATACTGTTCCCAGTGTTAATGTAGCGATCAATATAGTCAGTCGGAATATAACGACTGGATTAGTCGGGTTAAATAATCAATGGTGATGAAGTGCAATGTTAAGAGAGAAAAAAATGGGAACATGTCAACAAAGCTGCGTTTTGATTATGACATGTTAGGCTGGTCCTAGGACATCTTTAAAGGCCCAAGTCAGGTTAACATTAGTCTCCTCAGATAAGATATGCATCGTAACTTTTGCCCTAAACTTATGATAGCTAATTAAGAGGGTCTTTGGATAATCCTGAGACTTAAGAAACCATAAGTCGAAATAAAAACGTCAAAATGGATAAACATCTCTGTTTGTAGACTTCAGCTCGAAAAATTTAGGTTTTTTTTCTCAAAAAAAAATTAACTCAAATTTCCTTCTTTTATATTCATGCTGATTCAATTAATAAGTGTAAACAGACAATCAATGAACACACGTATTCCAATGTTTTTTATGCACATCAAAGACTGCACGATAATAACCAGGACATAACTAAGGCACCAACCACCCATCTTTTGTAAAAAAAAAATCGGGACAAACCACAAAGAGGAACGATATTTTTTCTTTTAAACTAAATGTTTAATGTAATTTTCTCTAATTTTCAATGGAAACAAACTTTAAATTTAGAATCAATCGATTTTGTCAAACCCATGCCCCTCGCAAAAGATGAATAGTCGGTGCCCAATAGATTCAATACACTTAATTTAAATATGTATTGTCATTTCTTATTATCATCAGCGGTATAATTATTCATCGTATTGTTATTCTTGTATTCGATGGCTTTTGTTAATGTAAAGATTTTTGCAATATGATTGTAATTTAATTAATTGCATTTTAAAGTAATTGACCCCAAGTCTCATTGGTATATACATATAATTATAAAGTACAATGAAACTGAAGATCGAGTGAAAATTAAATCTGTATTGTTTAATTCTTTAGTACGGTTACTGCATGTGCAAGTCACACAGACTTCTCATCCAAGTGTTCCTAAGTTTCCCAAGTTGTCGTATCTGAAATAGAAATAGCCATAAAGGAGAAATGTTTCAATTGTATTTTATCATTACCTTTTCGCATGTTAAGCTGAAACCTGCAACTGGAAATAACAATAAATGATAATAACATTTATAAATATAAACGAAAATATGATTTTTGTATGACCTAAGAGAAGCTTTCGCCATATCAATTTACTGCATTTGCATTTTTTAACACACGACGTCCTAGCTATACCAAATAAATTTCATCAGATTGTGTTTGACAAACTTGCCACATTTTGCCTGTCCCAAGTCAGAAGTCTGTAGTTCAGTGGTTGTCGTTGGTTCATGCCTGTTTTACATTTGTGATTTTGGGGCCTTTTATAGCTGACTATGCGGTATGGGTTTTGTTCATTGTTGAAGACCGTACGGTGACTTATAGCTGTTAACTTCTATGTCATTTGGTCTCTTGTGGAGTTGTCTGATTATACCGCATCTTCTTACTTTTATATACATACGGTACTGATGAGTTTTTCTCATTGTTGAAGGCCGTACGGTTGCCCATGATTGCTTACACCTACTTCATTTGATAACTTTTGTGGATAGTTGTCTCATTGACAAGCATACCACATCTCCCTTTTTTCATATTCTACATTTGCACCATTCAACACGACAATCCAAGACTGAGCAACACAACTTGGCACCACAAAAAAATCAAAGGTAAACATGTGTGCATTTGAAGAGTAAGAAGAGGTAACCCCACAATATCACAGTATTTGAATGCCATACGGTGACCTATATTTGCTTACATCTACGTACGCGTCATTTGGTCGGATGTCTCATTGGCAATTATTGCATGCATACCACACCCTCTTACTTTTATATAAAGATGTTAATTTCAAAATTCACAATTTTCGATTTGTTAACCTCCTGACGTCTTTTGATTGATTGGTTAATTGATTTGTTGAATGATTGTTTGATTGATTATTTGACTGACTTACGCGTGCTTCAAACAGTAATCCCGGCAATCTGTATATATTGGTGATTCAAAGGAAACTGAACTTCCGCCTGTCTTGTCATGTATACATTTTATCTCACAAGCTTGGAAAGGTGTGATTAGTTGTGCATACGTATAACCTGAAATAATCATGTGATAAGTTGTGCATACATAGAACCTGAAGTATGACATGTGATTAGTTGTGCATAAGTAGAACATGAAATAAGACATGTGACTAGTTGTGCATACGTAGAACCTGAAATAAGACATGTGATTAGGCCACACAGCAAATAGGTCTTTTTCCCCTTTTTTTGGAAAGATTAAAACTATTGTTCCAATCCTTTCTTAGGGCATTGACCTTATCAACCGTGTAAGGTACTATATCTACATACACTGAAATATAGTAAGTTATAAATGATATAGCAGCAAACGCTCGGAGTAAAACTGCAAATTATTTTTGAAATTGCAGTTCAGAACACGAAAGAAAAAGTTAGTGGTTAGTAAAATCGGTTGCACTGTAGCTAAATAATTCCAGACGGTTTACAAATGAAAAGTGACAAATTTGAATTTTATATCTTTTGAGCAGTTTACTCAATTAAGAGTAATAATAATAATAATAATAATAATAATAATAATAATAATAATAATAATAATAATAATAATAATAATAATAATATCTTTATTTAGAGAGAGTAACTCATTTGGATTACACCAATTTTCAATAAGGCTCTCTTAATACAATAATAATTACATTAAAAATAAACAATACATATTCAATAATAATGATAAATAAAGATGTAATACAATTTAAATACAATAAACAATTATTATATATGGCATTACAGTACAAATATCATGGTAATGTTAAAAGTACATAGATTTGTAGTTATGTTTAAATTCTAATACTGTGTTTGATTTTTTAATTGAATTAGGAAGAGCATTCCATACTTTTGGTCCATTGTACGAGAAACTAGACTTATACAACTCTGTATTTGGTTTTGGAATTATAAAATTATCTGAGGACGAAAATCTCGTATTGTATTTTTGGTTTGCAGAAGCTGATAAAATAAGACTGGACATATATTCTGGAGCTAAGCCATGTTTTGCCTTATACATTAGTAATGATTTATGATAATGTATTCTTTGGGTAATCGGCAAAATGTTACATTCGTGAAATAATTCGCTTGAAGGTTAGGTGTAATCATGTTCGTCTAAAATTATTCTTGCTGCCCTCTTTTGCAGTTTGAGTAAACTATCTAATAGAAAGTTATTACAGTTTCCCCATATTGAACAACAATAATCTAAGTGAGGTAAAACGTAAGCGTTATAGAACATGTGTCTAGCTTTGTGATTTAAATATTTCTTTATCCTTTTTAGTAAAGCTAAAGAAGAGTTAACCCTTTTTATGATATAATCAATATGAGAAGACCAGGATAGAGATGCATCAACAAAAATACCTAGAACCTTTGCACATGTACTTTCTTTAATTTGTTGTCCATTCATAGCAATATTAATGTTTTCATTTGATGTAACTGAAAGCTTCTGTTTAGAGCCAATACATATAGCCTTCGTTTTAGATACATTTACAGCCATTTTATTGTCATCACACCAGCGAAAAATATCTTGTAAAACCGTATTAAGTTTATGACTGATACAACTTTTATTTTGTCCAATGACTGATATGGTGCTATCATCAGCAAATAAATCGGTGTTATGATTAGGATTAGACAAAGGAAGATCATTTATAAAAATTAAAAACAACACAGGTCCTAAAACGGATCCTTGAGGTACACCGGTTTTTTGTTTTTGTAAGTCTGAAAATGTATTTGAAATAGATACCATCTGATATCTGTCAGCCAGTACTGGTACGATTGACAACTGTCATGATCAACTAACAATATTTTGTAATCCTATCTCTAGATTTTCATTTTCACCTGTTTGTGTTGTGGGGTTGCTGTATCACAGACTATATCTCATATCTCCTTTCATTTATATGTGAATCATGATGTACACATCTTATCGACAAGGGTTTTGTTAGCTTACCAAAGATTAAATACAATTGAATTTAAAAAAAAAACTTTAAGATTACATTTATTACAGCCAGAAACAAATATCCTTCCGCAAGCTCTTCATTGTGAATGAAAAAGTGTGAAAAAAACTCGCGCAAGTTTCAGGTGCAACTGCATCAATGGTTTATTTAAACGCGACGTAAATTGTGGTTAAATATCGGTAGTGAAAAAAACAAAATGATTTTATTATATGAGATAAAGTTATGCGTATCTTAACACAGGTTAAAAAATATCCATTACCTGCAAAGTACACAAACACTACAAAAAGTACACAGAAAGGAACCTTCATTGCTTCACTTAGGTTAGAACAATGGAGGACTAGTACGGTTCTTATCAAACTATTTATCTATCATATATATGAGGGTCTGGATTGGGTTTACAAACTAGAGAATAATCAAGGAAAACATATAAAAGATTAGGGCACAAAAACAGAATAGAGAAAAATGGACCAAAATATTATAAAACAAAAATTAAGAGAATAAATTAACGGTTGCTAAAATGTATAGAATATAGAATAATGGGCAAACACATAAATGATTGATAAAAATTGTCTAAACATTTAAAGAATACGGAAATGAAGATCCCTTCCCTCCAATCTAGACCCTCATATGAATATATAGAATAGATAAAGAAAAAAAGCACGATTTGTAAATCTGATGTCACCGACTCATGCGGCTATCGCTGCATCTCAAAGTGTCGGTCATTGATAACGCAGATTACCGAACAAATATGCCGAAGTAACTGTGTACTAGTAATGTAAAAATTCCATGGGACCTCATGTGGCCGATTAAACCCACAACACAAAGTTAGCATACCCATTTAGGTCATGCTATAGTATTAAAATCTTGCCTCATGTTATTATTTCACTAAATTGATTGATTGAGTTTTGTGTCCTTAATGTCCACTGGCAACATTTCATGTATATTCAACACGAACAAAATTACAATACATACACAAGGTACGTTCTGTAATATAGGTCGACCGGAGTGAAGGATTGAACATGTTTACATCCATGCACTGGAAAAAGGGGGTTATGTTTGATGGAGTGAACATATTTTGCCTTGCAACATGTGTCACCTACTGACCATAAAAAAACTGTCGGAAGGGGTCTTTACCATAAAGAGAGCTTGGTACCCTTCCTACAAGAGATATCAATTTAGCATTCAACATTTCGATCGGACACAGCTGTTAATATACACACCGCAAAGCCACTCTTTAAGCAAGGTTTTCTGCTACGTGTATCGAAGAAGTTAAAATACTATATAGTAACCATTTTTTTCTTCGCTAAAAAAGATATTTCAAATAATATAGTTTCTAAGTCGCTAGAATGATCAAATGTAAAAGGAGATGTGATGTGATGTGATTGACAATGAGACGACTATCCAACAGAGTCAAAATGAAGCGGATTAAAGCAGTTACAGGTCACAGTATATACGTCATTTACCAATGAGCAAAACCCATACCGTATAGTCACTTATAGATTTCACCGACATGACAAAATGTGAAACAATTCAAAAGACAGAAAACAACGGTCTGATTTAAAAAAAAACAATCAACGAAAAACGAAGAAACCAGACAGCAACCAAAGACAACCACTGAAATACTAGCAACTGACCTAGGACAGAAACACATAGAATGTGGCGGGGTTAAACATTTCTGTGAGCGCTCAACCATTCCACAAACGTTGAACAGTTGTACAGCAGCACAACATAAGAACAAACTGTAAAAATCAGTTGAAACTGATGAACTCATCAAATTGGCACGAAGTACAAAGCAACTAACATGATCTAACATATACAGACAGAAGACACAAATAACCAATCTAAGAGTACTCGTGGTTACTTAAAGCTCGTTCAAAGCCAATATAACAACTAATAGAGAAATCATGTTCTCCCTGACTAAAGTATCTATCGGTGCACATCCAACGGATTAAGTGTATAAGTTGCATGATATAAATAAATGGGGTAACAGCTGAAAAGAAGTCATCAGACTGTTCTTATATACTATTATTTGACGAAGTGGATCTTTAAAGATCACACAAGATATTCGGAATTGACAATATAGGCTGCGCCAGGATTGATATAAATGCGAGCAAGGAGTGGCTTAAATTCCCAATAACTTCGTTGTTTTTTGGAACATAACTTTGGATGCGTATACGTACACCAAAACCAAGCTGTGAATGAAAGTATGCGACTTTATTTCCATTAAGTAGCCCGCAAAAGAGACAATATATTATAATGATGTATGTGTAAATATCAATTTTCTAATATCTGTTATTGGAAACCCGTGTATCGATGTTAATATAATCGGGTCCTTAACGAAGTAATTATATGTAGTATTTAAAAATACTCGACCTGAACAAGCCTGAATGGAATTCTTGAATATTGAAGTTAAACATTTAAACAAACGTATGTAAAAATGTAATCTAAAATGTCTTGAGAATACGTATGACTCACAAAAGAATGAAATTAAGCCATTTAGTAAGATTTCATGCAGCTGTTGGGGCCGGACCGGTTGTTGGTGCTGATACTCGTAACAAATGGGTCGATCACATTAAGGGTTATAATGACCTATATGCTTAGAAATAACATGAATAATTAAATGAACTGACATAAAAAGTGCAGTAATATTATATAAGTTTATGATAATTTTATGTTATAAGTGTTTTAAATTGACAATATTGCGCATAATTTTGAGCTTAACCTTGGCTTATTCGTTGAAACATGATTGGGTGTCTGGACTAGGGGAGGGTACCTCAGTTTTGTGTTCTTTGACTGTTTAAGCCCTTATCAATTATTAATTCCTTATATTTTTTGTCCATTATTCTCTATTCTTCATGTTTCTTTTACCTTTATTCTATATTCTTTATATGAGCTGCGTCAAATAGAAATCGACCTTATGCAAGTGCACGTATATATATACATGTATAGACTTTGACTGATTTTGGAATAATCAAATACGAAATAAAAGATGAATTTTGGTCTGTTTTGTAGGGTTCTTATATCAAATCAATTTTCAAACAGTTAAAGATTTTGCATAGAGATGTTTTCAACCAAAAATAGCTTCAATAGATGTATTAATATTCATTTGCATAAGGTCGATTTCTATCCGACGCAGCTCATATTTTAACACCCTATTATTCTCTATTCATTATTGATTGGTCGGTTAATCTGTAGTATAGGTCCATTAATCTCTATTCTATAAACCCTATACAGACTACAGACCCTCATAATGTACAGTATACGTTTTGTAGCTCAAAAGAAAGTTTTTAAAAAGTAACACAAGGGCAACTACAAAAAAATAAGATGTACACAAAATGTATATAAAACAGCAAAATGTAGTATAATTATAGCGTCATGTCTATTAATGTATACAGGGGTGGATATAGGAATTTGTCAGGGGTTGTAATCAATACAAAATTTCAAAACTTATTTTCTAAAATTATGGTTAAGAGACTACAAATCAACTTGGTTAAACATGTTTTTCAAAATGCCAATTTCCGTATTTTTTAATTTGATGTCTTCGAGCGAAATTGTCTGCAAGATCTAAATATACACCATAGTGCACGTTCATAAGTGCCAATCCATTGAGTCGCAGTGGCGTAACTTGGTACTTATCTCTAATGAGGCAAAGGAAGTCAAGGACCCCGATGCTGCTTGGGGGGGGGGGATGTTTTATGGGCAAAGACAATGTCCAAAAAGAATTTTCAACATTATAGATGCAAAACGCTATACGATTTTTTTATATGTTTGCATTACGTTCGATGGCAAATATTTCATGCATATACGGTATTAGAACAAATCAACAATAAATCGGGCAGTAGGTAAGTCCTGAATAAAAAGGGCGAACTTGCTTGGATAAAGGGGTGTTCATTTGGACTGCTACTGAAAAGAGGATAATTATGTTTTTAAAGTGGCCGAAATACTGCCCTGCAACATACCACACAGGCACTACTCAATGAGCTTTTGCAAAGGTTCTTTGACGTGCAGATAGCGTAGCACACTCCCTACACGAGGCATTGGATTTAATGTCCCATTCTGATAAGAAATGTTTGCCAGGGGAGGTTCCAGCCATTTTTAAAAGGGGGTTCCCAACCCAGGATAAAGGGGGGGGGTCCAACCATATGTCCCCATTCAAAAGCATCGATCGTCAAAAAAAAGGCGGGGTTCAAACCCCCGGACCCCCGCCGGCTGGGTCCGCCACTGTTTGCATACGTAGAATAACATGCCAAATAGCCCTCGTCATGGTTTAGTGTCGGATGGGAGAATGTGAGGATTCAAGATTACCACATTCCTATACCCTATTTCATCCTTAGCGTGATTGTAATACTGGCTACAAAAAAAAAGTTAACATGTCATGTATGATGAAAGATTTCATTTTTTTCAGGGGTATCAAATTATCTATTTACAATACTTTAACACAAAGCATACATTTCACCTGTGTTAATACAGTTGGAATCGTGGTGTGCATCTTAAGAATTTGTGTGTCATGTTGTTTTCTCTCTATCTTTGTTTTAAATTGTTCTTTTGATTGGTCACACATTTGCAGTAAGTACTTCTTTTAACATTCTAGATTTAAGAATTTTTTATCATGAAATAATGTAATATTTTTCAATGCGAATTATGTTGCATTTATTAATGAATTGATTCTGACAAGTAGTTTCGGTAACGTTTCGATGTAGAAAATTTAATGCTATTAGTTTTGACAAAAGTTCAGTTATAATGAACGTATTTGTCGTTTTATTGAAGCTTCGCACATGTCTTTTAAAATAAGGATTTGAATTAGCTGTTTACTGAAGGTGAGTTATACAAGTCATGTAGACGTAGAGAGTTGTATTTTGTAAATATTGGTGGTACCAAGGAACAATAAAAACACTAATTGAAGAAAAACTGAGCCAACGCCAATGCCTAAAGATGCGGAACAGACACACAATTATCCAACAATTACTACAAAAAAATCAGCAACACGAAGTACACAAAAAAAAAAAAAAAACGGAACACAAGCCAATACATTGGTTGGGTATTCATGCAGTTCGTGTCCCGCTAGTGTAACCCATGTTCGATTAACATAGAAAGTAATGGAAATATATATGGGTACCCTTCATTAATCTTTCGTATTATTTTTATTTATCGTTTGAATTCTTATTTACTCATACGACCGTATTTTACATAGATTTACCTTTCTGTTGGTATAAAAAAAAACTCCAGTTTATTTGATTTCATTTTTAGGTCTCCGATTTTTTGAAAATTTCATTATCTGAATTCCCTTCCTCACATCATTAAATATCAATGAATTACCCC